GTGGTTTGTTCTCAAAGATATTTCCAGTTCTCGTAAAACTTGAGTGGATTCCTGTACTCGCCTCCTAAATTTCTACAAATGCAAAAATAGAGAAAAAAAATACTTTTTGATTAAGCAGCACAATGACTTTTTATTAAAGCTAATATTTTTTTATTCTTTCCCTAAATACATATTTGTTTTTAACTCTAATTACCTTTTTAGGAAGTTGTACTATTAACCATATGAGGATATTTGTGTAGTTTGAATGAATAAATTACAAGAAATTATATCAGTTATCTTATTTTAAAATTCTATGTACAGTATATCTGACAAGCAATCTATATCCAAACTTTTAACCTAAATGTACACACGGGATTTGCTCCCCAAGTGTCAGATACAAAAAGGGCTTGGTATGAAAGGGGTTAAATCAACCATATTTACCAAATATTATTCCATTGTCATATTGAGGTATTCTTACACAATGTCAGATGTGCTGTAGATTAAGAAATTCTATTTTAAAAGGGATGAGGAATTGCTGTAGGTTTGTTAAAAAAAGTATTTTTTTAAAACTATTCCAACAGAAATTATAAGTATATTAAAGCATTTTTAAAATAAAATTAGTATAACAATTTGGCACATAATAATAATAATAATAATACTAATAATAAAGTATACACTTGCATACATGCCTCAACTATGATGAGACTTTTATAAGTGTCCATGTTTATTCTGTTCTCCTTAACTTTTGTTATTATGTCTCACAAGCTATTCCACTGCCATATTGTATTCTGAGTTAATCACTCAACCTACAGGTCCGCTCCTATGTACTAAAACAGTGGGCATTTGCCGATGCTCTCTTTAGTGGGGTGCCTTGGGTGAAATATTATATTTTCTTGCGATGCTTACCCCAGCTCTCTGTTTTGGCATCAGAAGCTATAGTTTTTATGTTGTCGAGCTGTCACAAATTACCATAAAACCTCACTTAACCCTGTATCATATACGCATGTCTATCGATCTCTAACTATGCCTTTTCCTGATGCAGCTTTAGACGTGTCAATTGTGCCGGTTTGCTTAATACCAAACAAAATATGCAGTTTCTGACATACAAATGTTTTTTTTCTATGGCTTTTATTGTCTGTGTTTCTGCTGTTGTGGCGTGGTCTGATTGTAACTTCTCACGCGCAGCAAAAATAAAGAATTAAAATAATAATAATAATAATAATAAGAATACAAAAAAAAAAAAACAAAAACTGAAAATTGAGACTTCACATTTTTAAATCTTCCCTTTAAAAAATCTAACTGTAAAGCATATCTGAGGTCTCCTGTTTGCATTTGACATAATTGTGGTGCATGTGGTGGGAAAGTGCAATTGTGTAAGAAAGAGGGTACTAGGTAGTGATACCAATCTGAACAGCTCTGTGGTTTACTACAATTGTGCCAAAGGATAAACTGTGATTCTGGGAAATATTATGTCATTTCCAGAAACACTGCATCAAATCATTCCACAACCCGTTATTTTACTTTAGAATGTCAAATATAATTTCTCATTGCCATATATTAAATTGACATTGATAACAGCCTAGTAAATTACACCTAACAAACATACACACAGCTGTGTCCTCACTACATGGTGTGTCTTCACTACTCTGGATTTCCTCCGAGATACTTCATCTTTTTAAACTTTAAGAGTTGCAACAGAAAAGATTGAATGGCCATTACTGATTAAACGGAAATACCAAAGTAAAACAGGATTAAACATTGCAATCCACCCATTTCTTGTCGCCCTTCATAACATTAGCCATTGAACTTTTCTGATGTACCTATCACTCCCAGTCTCAATTCACTTATTTTACATTAACTTTCAGTTTGAGAACCACATACTTTAGTTTTAAACTTGTTATTGTCATGTGTGGCTAACTAGATGGCAAACGAGTTGTCACTTGTTTTTTCTTCTCCTAGCAGTAACTCGCTCTTTTCACTCTCTCGTCAGGTTAGCTACTATTATCCATCCAAGCCAACGCGTTTTTCGGCTTTATGGCTTTTTCTTTTTACAATGCATGCGCTTCACTCATTATATCCAGCTTATCTCCAAATCCTGCAGCTTATATCTTAAACCTCTAACATTATCGAATATCTCAAGCAAGAACCAACTAAAGCTCCTTTTTTCACACTAATTTTTGTCTGTGTTTAATAGTGAAACACACTCTTTTTGGATTTGCTTGTGTTCTCACAGTACCCGGTTAGAGTCAATATTTAACAGTGCCAGACTTTTATTTCATTTTTTTTCTTTTAATGTTTTTAGTATTTTTCCCCAAGACAATTACATCGTATGAGATAAAAGAAAGAAAAAGACAGAAAATCAGATACATCCATAAAACATATTACAAAATATATTTTTTCCATTGACGCTAAACATTCACCATTAGCATGAAATTGTCATTATATTCTCAAATAAAAATGAAAAAATGAAAGATACAAAATATCTTCAGGAACTGAGAGAAAGACCTTTACGGTCTTGATTCAATCTCAGGTAATTCTTAAATGAGTCCTGAATAAATCTTAAATCAGCTGTGGCACTGATGAGCTCCTTCCTAATATTTCTTCATTAGCTCAAAGAGATGGACTTTTCATTCCTGTCATTTCAGTCCTTACCTGGATTCCTGTGTTCCTTGTTATTCATTTTCAACAAATGATCACCACTTTCAAAATTCCCTACAACCAACCACACCTCAAACAAAATATAATCTGTGATTTGCAATTAGAACCCTGATCTCAAACTGATTATAAAAAAAGTTTTACTTAGCTGAATTTTCTTGGGCTGTTTCTTACATTACTATGGAATGTCCCACCATGATGAATTTCTATTTCAAAATGTATTTTGCACAAAAACAGAGCAAAACTATCTGAGCCATGGGTTGCTGCTATTATCCTTAAAAATGAAGTCCATGGTGTAACAGGAAAATCCTTCCCCCAGTTATTTGAAAAATAGCATTGAATAAATATTAATTTTAATTGAATTTAATGATATTTTGAAAATTTTAAGTTCTTTTCAGAAATGCTTATATTTATATTTATAATTGTTACAAAATACTTTTGCCACATGGGATCGGCCTTTTTTGGGGGCCCACAGCTATTTTTAAAGGAAATTTTTTTAATAATGAATAGAGTTAACTTATAGGCCATAGTATAAGCCAATTGTACAGAATCACAAAGCGAGGATTGTCTGAACTACGAAACAAGACAAGGTAAATGGCAATACGATCTGCAGTCTGGTGTGTGCCTTCTTCACAAATTGCACATAAGGCCTCAGCACAGGATATGAACACATCTGGGCGCACTGAACACTAACAATTATAGATTTTTTTTTTGCAATAAAGCTCTATTTTAGGAAATTTCATCCTTTCCTGCCAAAATATTTATTTTTCTTGTATAGGCTTCTTGTCTGTTGTTAGCCACTTATCTGGGAGGAATTTTAATGCAACCATAAATAATATTTTCTCATTTATTAAACTATTCTGGATCAAATAATGACAGCTAAAGTGTCTACTACAACGGATTCTGCCTACCATGTTCCTACTCCTATTGCAGTTATACGGAAACATTGAAAGACTTTTTGGACAGTCACACAGAATTTCTCTTCATGACTTTCGCCAATGCATTTAACCCGATTACATATTTGGAAAAGAATAAATACATTACTAAGCTATGATTCTGTATATAGAATAATATTCCAAGATACATAAAAATATAACTTTGCATTTCTTTAACTTTGTATTTATTAGTTGATACTTTACAGATATATTAGTGAGGTATCAGTTAATAGTGAATATACAGCATCTTGTGTCTTGCAATCTTTCTGACAGTTTTACAAAGATTTGCACTGAATGAGAAATACTAGAACATATATGTGGGATATTACATTGAAAAAATTAATATAGGCATTAAAGGGACACTATAGTCACCAGAACAACTATGGTCACTCCTCAGATGGCTGCTAGAGGTGCTTCCTGGGACAGTGCTGCACAGGGAGCAGCACTGCCATTCATTGTCTCCTCCCTCTGCATGCATATACTGAACTTTCCCCATAGAGATGCATTGATCCAATGCATCTCTATGAGGAGATGATGATTGGTCAGGGCTTTGTTTAGCTTGTGCTGTCTCTGCCCCTGATCTGCCTCCTTGACAATTTCAGCCAATCCAATGATCTTATGTGAAATCATTGTGATTGGGTCATTTCACCACTTCTGTTGATGTCAGCCAAGGAGGAAGATCAGAGGCAGATCCAGCAGCAGCAGACTTGAATAAAGCTAAGATTTTACTAAATTTAGGAGGGCTGGGGGGGGCTAGATGGTGTTTTTAACACTATAGTGTCAGGAATATAAGTTTGTGTTCCTGACCCTATAGTGTTTCTTTAATATACAATGTATGTAGGCACAGATCTACATTTGTGTTGTAATGTATTTTGGGATAGTAAACATGTTAGGGATCACAGAGGTATCACAGATTGCTCAGATTGTATAAACATATCATGTTAATACAATGTCCTCAAATTTGGCCAGTCATAAAATCTGATACACGAGGATTGGCACCAAGCATTTCTCAATAATGGATAATAACATTGTATAGCGTTACGGAATTTGCTGGTGCTATATGAATAATAAAATAATAATAACAATGGCTGGCCAAGCAAATGCATAGAGATTGGTACATTTTTATGCATATTTTTACATTTCTGCACAAACACCCTTACCTTTCTGGTTACTGCTGGATCCAGATATCCTTTCAGTTTCTGGATGTAAGTATGTGGTGGATTCTTGACTTGAAACCTTTCCTGCAAAAACAGAACACATGGATCAATATTTATACTGACAGTGGTCAACAAGAATAACATAAAGAATGAGTAAGAAAAGAGCTAGAATGTAAGCAAATTTATGCGTACATGTCTAGATTAGTGATGTCGCGAACCGTTCGCGAACTTGCCGCGAACGGTTCGCCACGAACCGTTCGTGGCGAACTCCGGTCAGCTGACACATCCCTGCCAATCTCCGGCAGACCCTCCCTCCCAGACCCTCCCACCTCCTGGACAGCATCCATGTAGAAGGCAGCTTCAACATGGATGCTGTCCAGGAAGTAGGAGGGCCTGGGAGGGAGGGTCTGCCGGAGATTGGCAGGGATGTGTCAGCTGACCGGAGTTCGCCACGAACCGTTCGCAGCGAACCGTTCGCAGCGAACCGTGGCGAACCGTTCGCGGCAAGTTCGCGAATGGTTCGCGACATCACTAATCTAGATATGTATTCAATAACTATGCACAAGGCTATAAATGTAGCTTTAGTTTCAAAACAAGTTCAAAATAGCTCCAAAACATCAATATAGCCAAACAAGTTTAAAATACCTCCCAAACATGAATACAGCCAAAAAGAGACAACTTGGAGATAAGGGCCAATCCTACAGTAGAATCTAAATAGATACACTGAAAAGATATCCTTCTCATGTTTAGTTGTTAGAATTTGCATTTGGTTACTACAATCTGGCAAACAGAATGTATAGATCAGGTAAGTGAAATGTATAGATCGAGTAGGTGGCTTAATGAGTTCTTAAATTTAGTAAGTTGTACAATTAAAATTATGTTACTCCCAAGCCCTGGTCAGATTTACCATTTGCTAAGCAGGTAATTTGTGCTTCTTGGATTGAGCGCTCATTGACTTTAATTGGAACTTAAATCTATACTTGGGGATGGAAGGGACTTTATATCTGAATGGCTACATCGAATGTCACACATTAGGTCTACTATCCAAACTCGTATTGTTGTGTCATCGTCAATTGCCACTGAAAATGGACTGGTTATCCTGATGGATTTCACCAGCATAATAATCAATTACCATTTAATAGCTCTCGCAAATGGGCAGTAAATAAATATCAACAAATTTATTTTTAATCCAGTAGCAGTGTCCGTAGCATTCAGATTACACTTCTTAAAAACGCATATATTTTACATTAGGTTTGAGAAACAACTTCCATTACCAACAGTCATCCAAATGCACAGGATGATAGGATATGTAGTTCACTGCCAATCTAAAGGCAGTCAACTCTCATTTTATGTCATTTTACCCTACCTGTAACCTCCACATAATTTTATAGTGAGACAGGAGGCTTCATATTTAGCTTAAACTTTCTTTACTGCCACTTTCAGCCGCAAAGAAACAGTTCATGAAGAACGGATCAAACTTTGGCGAAAGGGACACCTTATCTGGTGCTATAAGCCTGTAACACAGCCAGTATACAGCAGGGAGATGCTAAGAAGCATCGAAGCGTGTGGGCCTCCACGTTGGAGCTTCGTCGCGCAATCCAAAATGGCACTTGTGGAGAGGCCATGGCCAAGAAAACAGAGTGGAAGCTGCAGAGGACACAGCAGCAAAAAAAGAGGAAGTGGGAGCGACTGTTGGGGGTTTTATATGCCCGTCCTCGTACTGATTGGCTGTTTTCTGATACTTGCGTTAACTGTTTCTTTGCTGCTGGAGGTATCAGTAAAGGAGGTTTAACCCCTTAAGGACCAAACTTCTGGAATAAAAGGGAATCATGACATGTCAGACATGTCATGTGTCTTTAATGGGTTAAGCAAAATATTCGCCTTCTGTCTTTAATAACAATTTAGATTATTCGAATACCAAGGCTAGAATAATCCCCAATTTGTCTGTATTTTATAGTGCAAAATGACAGTGTGGGACAGCCTGCTTGCACAATACTTGTCTTCGTCTCAAATTCTTGGCAATTTATGCTATAATCTTAAGTACTGCTTGATACCAAAGGCCAACTTGTCACATTAGACTTAAGCTTTTTCCACTAAAGTCTGTGCCACAATTTAAAAGGAACACTACTTAGTCTTGGAAGAAAGAATAATAGATTTTTGCCAAAGGTCGTTCGAGTCACATGTTTGGGTTGCCTATAATCCTGCAACTGCCAACTAGGCCTGAGGTTTATCAAGAGAAAGTTTCACTTTACTACAACGGGCAATGAAAATGAAGTTGTTGTTTTTTTAGCAATTGCAATCAGAGTTGAGTGATTTATTTTATGCAGTTTATTTTTTTGTAGGAAAGGTTACATAGCAAAATGAAAAGAAGTGGGTTTGTAAAAGTCTGTAGTACAAAAAATGTACGCATTACAAGATAATCAGGTAGGTGACCAAATTTATCTGCGATAAAAGAAAAGTACTCCCATGAAATAAAACGTAAATACTTCCTTATTTAGTAAAAATACAATGCAGAGTGAAATTTAGAACACTGAGGGGGGTTACATGCATCCAGGCAAAGAAGGAAGGGGATTAGACCCAATGATATTAGTAGCATTCTTTGTTTTAGAGAGTGCCTTCAAACTGTGTCAAGAAAAGAGACCGCATGTTGTTGGGTAAGTGCAAATTAAAGTTGGGTTACTGTGACTGTGGCAAAACCTTTTGCAGACTAACAACACAGGAGGTATAAAGTTGAAGATGTGTGACATATCTGACCCGAAGCCTAACTGCTTTCTCTTTATTATTTTGACAGGTGTCAGAAGGTAAAACGTGAGTAGTCTCCTTTTTGTCTTGTCTTTGTTGTTTATGCAGGCCTAGCCACACCTCCTCTGGCTGAGACTTACACAGTCTACCTCCACACTTCCTGGAAAATAGTCTACTTTTTAGATTTCTCTAATTGCACACTGTGTTTAATATATAACTTATCTTCTGTTCTATTAACTACCTTCTAGAGCCTGCAGCAGCCTCCTATGTGTGGTTAAAGTCAAATTATCAGAGCAACAGACATGAGTTTCTAAAGTAAATACACAGTGTTAAGGGTCACGATAGGGGACAGTAATACAGAGTCAGGGTGAGGATGTCAGGTAAACAAACATGATGCATTATTAAGTTTATGGTTGTAAATGGCTTTTTAGCACTTGGAGTAATCAACGTCACAAAATGAAAATCACTTATTACAAACTGGAATATATCAATGCAGATTATTGAATTAGTAGGGACAGCAGTCACCAATATTTTTAGAAAGCCATTTAAGTAAGTAGCAATCCACTAGTACAAAGAATATATTATGTAACAAATCTTCAGGCAGAAGATGAATACTTTGTGCTATTTCTTTACTTCTGCAGACCACCGTGGTGATTTAAGGAGAAAAATAAATAACCACAAATATGACTTTTTAATTTTTTTTCCTTCCTAATCTCGGCAACTCCAGATGGCTACATATTCTCTATTAGATTTATCTGTCTGCCTTTAACCTGATAAATGAGCTCTCATGTCCGGAACCAAAAATATATTCGATTTGCTTCTGCCAAATTGGATTTGTACTTTTGCCAGAAAAGATTGCCAGAGACGCATTTTTAAATAAACAGGATATTACAGTCAACGTTCATATTATATCTCAACAATCATATGGCAAGTCTAAAGATCTGAATGAAATATTTCCTACAGTACTTACTCAGGTTTCCACTCTTTTAAAGAAAAAACTTGAATTCTGGTTCGAAATATGACAATCAAGACACCACATTAGTTATTTTTTTTTTTGGTGGGGCGGAGTGAGGGAGGTGGGAGTAACCTTGTTAAGTCTTTACTTTTAACCCCTTAAGGACACATGACATGTGTGACATGTCATGATTCCCTTTTATTCCAGAAGTTTGGTCCTTAAGGGGTTAAATGAACACTCCAAGTACCATAACCACTATAGTACTATTCTGCAGTGATTATGGTGCCTGAATTCCCATGTCGCCTTCCCAGGGTAAGTAGTGAAACCATGTGAGAAAGGTTTGGCAACACACCTGTATTTGCTGGGTGCTGGTCATCTCCTCCCATCAGCTGACACTTCAAGCTGTTCTTAAATGGAACTCTAAGCCAAAGAGCAAAGTCCTGCACTGCCACTCTGGCACCATAACCACTATGGGTTATGGCAGTAGTGATTATAGTGTTTGGAGTGTTCCTTTAAAGCATTCATTTAGTTAACCGCAAACCTATTATCGACAAATATTGTGGTAGATGCATTCACCTTAAGGGAGTTGCATTTATTCATTAAACATCTAAAGGAACATTATAGGAACATTATAGGCACCCAGATCACTTCATGTCAATGAAGAGGTCTGGGTTCCATCCTCCCCTTGTTTTAATAAATGTTGTCATACTGACAGCCACTAGAGGCACTTCCTTTGGAAATGCATTATCTTGGCTAAGATCATCAACACTGAAAAGGCGGTGCTTCACTGAGGAGACTGGCGCTGTGACGAAGAAAAGTCAAGTAAAACTCACATTTTTAACCTGGTAAGATTTAAACACATAATCCATAAAATGAATACCTGAAATCATTAACTAATAATTGATATATCCAAATCAGAGGAACTTTTTCTAATTGCTGAGTTAAGACCGCTGGGTATCACATCTACCATACTGAGGTGTGAACATGGATACATTTAGGTTCATTAAATAACAGAATTATCTTATTGTCCTACAGAGAGCTTATCCACTAGGGATAGTAGAAACCTCTGCCAAATATTCTATATTTAGTCATTTGTCAGAATTCATTTACCACTAGAAAGTCTCTGCCGGTACATTTCCTACTAGCAAAGCACTTAATAAATAGAAAGAAAATACAGAAAATATGCAGCAATTATAAATATGATACAATTCTCAGCAGAACACGTCAATCCGGGATCCATTTTCCTCCATAACAGAAGTACAATATTGTTCACACATATTGTAGATTCATTTTGTTGTTGCCAAGATGCAAAGGGCTTATGTGAGGCCATTTGGGGACACAAAGAAGAAAGAGCTTGTTGCAGATTAATGTCAATGAGAGGGAAAGTGCGGCTAATTCCATTTAGTTATACAGTAACATACAGAAAAGAGCAAAGATATTACAGAGGTCATATAGGAAGGGATAAACGAGTCATAGAATGGGGAGACCAAGAGGCAAGAACGAACGAAAGACAGAAAATGAGGGCGAAAAAAGGAGAGAGAGAGAGGGATAGGAAGAGACTAAATACGTAAAAAAAAAGTATATTAGGAGATAAAATAATGGGAAGAAGATGTGCAGAAGGAATATAAGAGAAAATCTGCATCATGAAAGCAGGAGGAACAGGCTGTAGGTAATTCCAAAATGCTCCACTATGTTTCCATCTTGTGATGTTTCATGGCATATTTATATCAGTAAACATTATTTA